ACAAATGGGAGTCATTAGTGAAATGAGTTGAGAGAGTTCTAGGCTAGCTGTCAGACTGCCAAGCCCAAAGAACTGCTACATCAGCTCGTTAATTTCAGAGAGCACAGGCTGACTGAAACCTAAGAAAGAATTCAACAATTACAGGAGGCTATTTTACCATACTACTACTTTCCACACCCTTCCCTCCGCCTCCCCCTCCCTGGCCCCCCCCTCCGAGCACTGAGCCCACCTACTCCACAAACGAAGTCTCCAGCAGGGAAGGATTGTGTCTGATGTCTAAACTGCTATAAGATGCTCTACATGGGCTTGTACACCGGCACCAACTGAAAGCTCAAGCTAGTACTGAATGCAGTGATCACAGCTGAGTGGTCCATCACACAGGGGATACAGCACCTACACTCAGAGTTGCTCTGGCTCCCCATATGTTTCCAGGTGGTATACCGGTGCCAGATTTAACCTTTAGGGTTCGAGACCTGACTACCGGAGAGACTGACTCTCTCCCTGGGTCATAATGCCATAGATGATGTGAGTGGAGACACTGGAGATGATCCTCCTTTATAAGCGGGGGAGCTACTGACACGGGGTATTCTCCTTGTCTCTGGAATTTGCTTCCCGACAGGATCTGCCAGGGCTCAGACTTGTTAATATTCTGTGAACAATGTATAGCCCACTTTTTCTCACAGGCATCTAGGACTTGATCCAAAACCCAAGGAGGTCAGCGAGAGTCTTTCAATGGACTTTAACGGGCTTGGGATCAGGTCCTCAGAGAGGCTGGAAGTCTAAAGGTGAAGGGCTTGGAAACTGAAAGACAGTTTAGGATGAGGGGGCTCCTCACTTCTGGTGCTCTCCCCAATTATAAAGGAGATTACTGCACTAGCCCAAAACACTATTGTAAACTGGAGTGTTGGGGTTATTCCTGTGGAATATTTTGACAAGGGTCACGCTAGTACAATACTGGCATGACTGTGCTTTAGAGAAAAATACCCTCTAATAACAAATTATAATAAAATAGTAATAATAAACCTACGTATAGCACCTTCCATCCTTAAGAATAAGCAATTTACTCACTATGGGTAAAATTAATCCCAGGTCAGAGGGTCAGCACAAGGTCTCACTTAAGCCTCTATTTTTATGTCTTAAGTGGTGCAAGGCCGTGATCCGCCCAGAAGTCACCCACCACTGAAATACTGCCATCTCTGGGGAGGAACGCACCAGCCAAGGGGACAACTGGTGGTACGCATGCCACACAACAGTGAAGGGTGGGGAAATCACTTCTCCTGGATTAACTTTAAACACACACACACACCCCATCCGGTACAACCTTAGACTGTGACAAATATACTTTAAAACAAAATCACACAGCTGTGAAGTACAAATGAACCAAAGTGCCTTCACCCATTCTAGAGAGCTCCATCCAGCCAAGTGAACCGGACACAAAGATAGTGAACAAACAGTATAGAATGTCTTCTGCCTTTTGTGAAATGAAAATAAATGAAAGGCTCTAGTGTTTCAGGTCACTGATCTCTATCTCGCCTATCTGTACCATTTATCTGAGCTAGAATATAAAGGTTCCAAGTCCTTCTTCCCTCCCCTCCTTCCAGCCCATTTCATTTTCTGAATGAAAAGAACCACTTAGACACCTGGTAAAGTAGTAATAAGTTGTAACAAGAATATTGTTTTTTCTGGGCCAGAGCAAACTACATCAGAATAGATTAAAGGATCCAAAATGAATGTGTAATCTGTAAACAGATTGTCAGTCTTTTCGTTAATTTATGGTAGGTTAAGAGAAGAGACAGTATTTTTGCATATATATATCGTCTTTTATCTGAGGATATCAGAGCACTTTAGGAACAGCAATGAAGCCTCACCCGCCCCCCCACCACCACCACCACCAGTGAGATAGGTAAGTATATTTAGATAAATTAGGGTTTCTGAAAGCAGTAGGCATCGTTATTAGATGTAATTTAGTCTGATAATTGACTTATCTGTTCAAATGGATTTTCATACGTTTGAGAAGGGATAATAAAATCCATCCAACTAAAAGGATTAAACAGACTCAATTAATTCTATTAACAGACTTAATTTTCTGTTTAATAAATCAGACACATGGGGCCAGATCCTGGCCTCAGAGCTAAGGCCGCTTTGCACAAACCCAAAATTGAATCCCCAGATTATTACATTAGCTATTTTATGGACCTTAGAACTTGTATTTGTCCTCACAAAGAGCATATGCACACCCATATCAGGTGGTTGGGCTGCCATACTTCCTCCATTTAGATCTTGGTTTCTTCCTACAGCAGCTGTCTAATACACATTACGGGTTGTTATTTTACTGATCTGAAGCTGCATGAAATTGTGCTGTAGTGATCACCAAGTCTATGAGCTCTGAAACCACCACAGCACTGCCTGGGACCTCATTTTGACTTCATTTCTGTGCATCCTCTTTAGCCAAGAGGCAAGGAAAGTTTGCACAAGACAGTACGGCCTACAATAAATCAACCAACTCTCCCTTTCCTGAAAACCCAAATAACGGCACCCCCCTTCCCGCCCCGGACCATTGTAATGCATTATTTGGATGCTGGATATTCAGAAAGAAAGGTCATCTCTTCACTTGAAGACTAAGTCCTAAACCGCCCTCCCATCTAAAGAGTGACACAGCAGCTATGGAGTTCGAGTGTTATCTGGAAGAGGCAGATGAAAGGGTTCAAACTCCCAGGTTAGGGAAGACTACCCCCACCTACCCACCAGCCTGCATCCTTTCTGAAGTGATACTTCAGTGTTTGGAGGCACCTGTGGAAAACACACCATATTATACAGTGTTCCAGATATGATTCCCACACACTTCCTTCCCTTTCTCTAGACTTGTGCCTGCAGCAGCAGCCTTTGGAGCTGACTCTATTTCATATGCTCGGGCACCTTTTCCTTTGTTGCAACTTCTCAGACAGGTTCCCACTCTCCCTGCAACACTGTGACTCTCTTTTACATCCATTGCCAATGTTATTGCCTCTCTCTATGTTGACCAATGCATGAGGTGGAAGAGAGTTTCACCCTATGAAAGGCAGCATAGTCCAAGACAGGCCCCTAGAGGAACGAGCATGGGATTGGGAATCTGGGATTCCCAAAATCTAATCCTGATTCTGACTCAGTGGGCCCGATTCAGAGATGATGAAAATTATACTCCAGAGGAGGAAGAAGAGAGGATGTGGAGCAGGAGAAAGGGTCAACCAATGGGTGTGAGACAAAAGTGTTCTCCAGACTCTGTGTTAGAGATACACCTGACCAACAACTTTCAGATCTGGTTCCAAAATTCAAGAGTGCTCAGATCCAGGGTCCTGCGTTAGGTCTATCCACGGTCCTGATCAGAGGCGACGCCTTAACAAAGCCTCTGGGAGCGTTTATGGAAAATAATTAATTCTATGCCATCGCCTTGGTAGTCAGCTTTGGCTGTTGCACAGATGGTTCTCCACACCCCTGACTCTGACATCTCTCCACTCCATTATCACAGCTACTGGTAGGGGCCACATCCTGCATCTAAGGCCCCACTCACTGTCACATGGATTATCATGCTTTAAGTGTCCCTGCGCCACGTGTAGCCGGTCTAGAGGTGGGAGGGGTTTGGAGCTGGTCAGGGAGGCTTGTTATTAGGATGATGAAAGAGGGTTTTAGCAACTGGAATAGATGGGTCGGGGGGGGGCTGTCATTACTGGGGGTGGGTCACAACAAGGGTGGTAGGGAGTTTTTCAGCAACTGGGAGTAGACTGGGCTGCAGCAAGTCATTGAGGGAGAAGCACCTCAGTGCATGACAGAAGGGGACCCCAAAAAAGACAGGGCTCCATGCTGCCATTCACTTGGTGCAGGTCCAGCACTGGCCCTCCTGGCCACTGCCCAGTTCCCTATGGGACCTCAGCATCCTCCTCTTCTGGAATTTATTCCCCATCCTAGGGCCTGGGAGGAGTATTTATGATGACTGTGCAGGCACAAAAGGGACAGAAACATGACAAAAGCAGCCTAATGGCCTAAAATCAGCAACCAAATGGTCTTCTCCACCCCATATTACTTAGAAATGTTGGAAAAACAAAGGGCAACCGACCCGCCTGGCCTTTCTTAGCTATGTAAAGGGCATGCTGTAGAACAAACTAGGGCTTTGGCAATACCAGAGGGGTCATTTTCACACAGATCAGCTATTTCTGAATTATTTCTGCAGTGGCACAATTAGCACACAGGCCTTATCCTGCCCCACTTTATATGCTCCTTGCACACTGGCAGAGGCCGTCCCTGTGTGGCACACCTCTATGCCAGGCAAGTACTGCACGTTAATGTTTAAAGTTCCCTGAGAGAGAATTATTTTCAAAAAGTTCCCCCTTCACTCTACATTCCAAAGCTCGTATGTAGATCAAACACAGTCAGAAGCAATATATGCTCATGAATTTCTGCAGTGACATATCAACCAATGGGCCAAACCACAGGGCAACAGTCAATGAGGTACAACATGCAGTGTTCAGAAGAGAGAAAGAAATGGGATTACACAGATGAAGTTTCATAAAACTCTTCCATTTTCCTTTTGATAGGATGCAGTTGTGTGTTTTGCTAGACTGAGTGGTGCACTCACAGGAAACTAGAATGATGGGTTCTTTGATTCCCTGGATCTCATCCTACAAGATGCTTAAATTTCTTTTGACTCCAGTTTATTTGAGTGGGAGCTGGGAGCAGCACTCAGTACTTTACTGTATCCAATTCTAAATTCCTGCTAGTGAGGGGTCTGCATCAAGATGATTGGAAGCATCTTTGCCAAAGACATCTCAAAGGGTTTCAGGAACAAACAGTTTTTCTAATTCAATTTCACAGCTTCCTTTTTCTGATGCACCCCTTGCATAAGCTAAGATACAGGTAGCCCATTCTAGTGCAAGGCTGTGACCCATCTTCCCACTTGTTCTCACCCAAACACATTCATTTCAAACCTTTGTACTGAACCCTGGATAGGTCACAGTTAATATTCTTACCATATTTGTCTCCATCTTCCCCCTTGGCACTGATCCTCCTGCCTAGAACTTGGATGTGTTTCCCACTCGTCCTGCTGTACAGCTGGTAGAGTCTAAGCTGCTTCCTGCTCACATCGTCCCTTGCTCGTGTCTGATTCTCCACGTGTATCCGAAAATCCACATTCTCCTCGGCAACGAACATCTGATGAAAACAGAGAGACAATAAACCATGAAATAGATACAACATCTTGCCTACGAAGACAACAAATCAAGCCTGCCAAACAGCGCATCACACAGAAATAGTCTACTGTGGCTTGACTTCATTGGTGGTCATGTGGATAAAGGCTGCAGGATCAGGTGCTCCGAGTAAAGTTCTACCTAGGTGCTGACAAAGAAACTGGGCTTCTTTCTTCTCATGTATCATTCTCAGTAATAAAAGCTCCTGCAGTCTCAATTCTGTCCTGATTTAAACCTGCACAATGCCATGGTCTTCAAATGACGTGCTCATTGACACCTGGGTAGGCTCCACCACTGCCAAAGGGCTTACACAAATGTTAGTGATTGGATCTGTAATTGGAACAGAGTTAACAATTCTGATAATGCACAAGGAAGAATCCCAGTTCCAGCTCCAATAGCTGTGCTTGTTCTGCAATGCCAACTTCATTAAAAAGGAAGAAAAATCCCTATTTTTGTCACTATAGTCAATAGATCTGACTCTACATACACACAGGGAGAAAAATCTGTTGAGTTAGAAAAATCTGCTTTTCAGAGTAGCACTTTAAACAGTTCTGCCAATTTAAAAGTAAAGTGGAGTCAGTTGATTGCATAAGGTCTATTCCTGTGCATCTGCCTAAGCTTCCCAGATCAACTGGCTATCTGAGAACAAGGCCACTTGGACCAGAGGGCAAGAGCAGGCTTTCCAGAATGAGCTCTTATCAGCAAGATTCCTCTGCTTAGCCATTTTCCACCATTTTTATGGCCTTTGGCTCTTTGAGTAGAACTAACCTTAGTTAACTGCAGCTTTAAAGAACTAACAGCTCCTTTTGGCAGCAGACACCTTTCTGGAGATCTAGCATCCAGCATTAGCTTACATTTTCCCATATTTGCCAAAGCATAGACCAATTTCTGCCTCCAGTTAGAGACATCCCAACTCAGTATAAATCAGATGACTAGTCAACCACGAACTTTCTTGAGAAGGCCTTTCTGAATGGGTTTCAGAGAGGAAGTATCATCAAGGTCCCTTTAACACTTCAGCCCCAGACATTAATTACTTGCATTAATTCAAGTTTCAAATACCTGAGAAGTAGCTGGCAAAAAATAGGAATCAATCTGGTATCTAAATCTAATGATACCCAGAGGAGCCTTTTTTACCTTTTGTTTGAGTCTACATGAGACTTAGACTATATTTCAATGGCAGATTACCCTCAAATGAGAATAAATTAAGAGAGTCTGGCATATTATCATCTACCAAGCAAAAGAAGCATAGAACTCTTGAGCCACTAAAAAACCCTACTTTACATTGGTGCCTTTTAGTTTGGCCAAGGCAAACATTGTTCAAAGTTTATTGGCTAAATTCTCTGGTGTCAGTGGGATCTAATGAACTAAACTGTGGACCACCTGCATGTGGGGTGAAATTTACAGCAAAAGAGGACACAAGTGGGAATTTAGTGATGGTCAGGCATTGTGCTGTCCCTCTACAATGGGGTCATTTTCAGCCAACGGAGAAATGCTACTTCTGTGCCTAATAGATTTGGGCCATAAAAATCTGGTTCTTCTAGCTTGGAAACAGTAGAATTCAGGTATAAATCAAAGAGAAAAGGAGCAAGTATGTACCAGAGGGATGCCACTCACAAAGGAAAAGGGTTAGGTAAGCCCCAATTCTGTCCCATTCCCATTCAAGGTGACAAACTCAGTGAAGGAATTATTCAACTAACAATAACAATAATTCCCACTCTCAGAAAATGGAACAGCGAGAAGCAACGTCCTGCAGATTAAAAAGCAACATCAGGCTCATCCACATGCTATACAGTACACAAGGTTAAAGGATCTTCCCACCCTGAACTAATCAAGTCCTGCTCATCATACTCACCCAAATCATAGGGGCTATGTGTGAGAGTAAAATGAGCAAGATTAGGCCTGCACTGTCAATAGCCCATTTCCCTTTCTTCTTATTCTTCCCCACCCCACTCACCCAAATGAAACTTCTAACAAAGGAAATTAAACTACCAAAAGAGAGATGTTCAAATAATAATATGTTCAAATAAAGAGTTGTCACTTTGGATGGGCTATCACCAGCAGGAGAGTGAATTTGTGTGGGGGGGTGGAGGGTGAGAAAACCTGGATTTGTGCTGGAAATGGCCCAACCTGATGATCACTTTAGATAAGCTATTACCAGCAGGACAGTGGGGTGGGAGGAGGTATTGTTTCATATTCTCTGTGTGTATATAAAGTCTGCTGCAGTTTCCACGGTATGCATCCGATGAAGTGAGCTGTAGCTCACGAAAGCTCATGCTCAAATAAATTGGTTAGTCTCTAAGGTGCCACAAGTACTCCTTTTCTTTTTGCGAATACAGACTAACACGGCTGTTACTCTGAAACCTGTCAAATAATGTTGACACTCTGCCTCACACCACAAAAGCAAGGGGCTTTGCAGTAAAGACTTTGGCTCCATAATATTAAGATTTAAAAGAGTTTTTACAATCAAGATTGCATTGTTGCATTGCTTTCACCACATGTTAATGAGTTGCAGATTTTTCTAGAAAAAAATAAAAAGGTGGGATTTGTGGGGGAGGCTTCCATTCACAAAGGCCACAAATTTGCCAAGCCAAATTTGGACTGTACCATACCCATTATGTTGGCACTCCCACTTTACCCTGGCTAAGTTTGATTTCTACATCAGTAGTGTGTTTCCCTATTCACTAGCCCACAAACTCACATGGCGAGAAACCATAACTGCTTCCCAGTCTCCTTGAACAATGTGTACAGCTCACTGGGAGCATTATAGGCCCTGATCCTGCAGAGACTTGTACATATGAGTTATTTTATGCACTGTGGATAGTCGTATTGATAGTCCTATAATCAATGGGATTAGTCACTGAGTTTAAAAGTAAGTACATGCATAAATCTTTGAAGGATTAGAGCCTCTGTTGTTATCCCCTTACAGCAGAGTTCTTCTCTCAAATTTAGAAGAGGAAGCTGGGAGATGTTTCTAATAAATACAAAATACCAGATGAATTAAACCCAGATTTAAGGTCATCTATATGCCTAATAATGACAATACTTGGGCACTGTCCCTGTAGTCTAAACTGCAGGGGCAGACCCTCGTGGGAGTCATATTGGTTGTAATAAGAGTCTGCATGGGTATAAGGATCAGTCTGCATATAGTAGATTTCAAGACTGGGGCCTTAAATTAATATTTCCATACTACTCTTCAGCTAATTAGCCCTCACACTCCACTCCTGGAATGATGGGGAAACTGCCAGGGGCAACAAGTTATATTGTCCCCTGGTGCTCGTGCTCTAGCAAATTCAGGGCCCAGGGGTCCGCCTCCACCAATATTCAGGGCTGGGTCTCTCCCCTGGCCCTACCTGCCGCCCCTGCACACCTCCCCCGGCCCTGCCTGCTGCCCCTGTGCACCTGCCTGGGAGCATCCCTTCCTGCGCCCTGGGTAGTGGGCGTCTGTCCTGCTGCTCCACCCTGTGCTCCATCGCCGGCCACTGCCAGCTACAAAAGGGAGTGGTACCGGTGGCAGCCATCACTTGTGGAGGCGCAAACATGATGGCATCCCTCCCCCACCCCCGGCACCCACCACAGGGAGGCAAGAGGGCTTCCTGGACCTGAGAGGGGCCCGTCCCCTAAGAGCACGTGCAGTGACGGTGCTGGGTGAGCGTGCTGCTGGCGGGGAGAGGGCTGCGGGGACTGTGGAGTCCTCCTCTCTGGCCCCAGCCCCTAGGTAGCCTGCCTGCACCCCAAATTCCTCATCCACAGCCCTACCCAACTCCAGAGTCTGCACCCCCAATCAGAGCCCTCATCCCTCCGCACCTCAATGCTCTGCCCCAGCCCTGAGCCCCCTTCTGCACTGTGAACCGCTCATCCCTATCCCCACAGCCCTCATCCCCACACCTGAACTCTCTGCCCTAGCCCTGAGCCCCTCCCACACCCAAAACTCCTGATCCCCAGCCCCAGCCAAAGCCCTCATCCTCCCGCACCCCAACCTCCTGCCCTACCCTGAGCCTCCTCCCATACTCCAAACCCCTCGGCCCTACCCCATTCATTCTGTTATGTGCACCAATATGCACGTGCGGGGGCGGGACTTGGACCTGTTCTGGGCACCACCATAAATTATACAAACCTGCCACCCCTGAAAATTGCAACAGAAAGAAGTTAAGTGGCTTGCCTCTGCCATAGCCTCTTTCAGCAGGGCTCCACCACATCTTAGCACTTGTCTTCATTGCAGGATTAATTTAAATCCTATCCACACATCCTTAATCTGAGAGGGCTGGTGCTTTTATCTTGAGTTGGCCTGCCCGTCAGTGGGTATAGGCTACAGCGGGTTATAGTACAACTGTAACCCCCATTTGGGCTGAGCCTCTAGAGGGGGTCCTGCTCTGTGGACTACCATTTCATGCATGTTTGGAGTCCGGGGTGGGGACAGAATGGACTAAATACTCCGTATGAGGCCAATAGGAAGGCTGCCTCAAGGGTGACATGGCTCAGCCTGATACAGACAGATAGTGTAAATTTCATTTCAGTTTTGAGCCTGGGAACTGCAAGAGAAGCAGAACAGCTAAGGGAGTCTCTGATTAACTCCCACAAAGGGGATCTTTGAACTGCTGTGGGATCTAGTGCATGGGTCAGACAGTGCCAGCCCTGCAGAGACCAGCATCAAGAGTGGCAGTGATTCAACCTGGTGCCAGTTACTGAGAGCCAGCCGTGCTCTCCATGGGACTGCAGGCCAGAGAGCCAGGAGAGGATTCTGCCCCACCCAGAGACCAAGACACTGTAAGGGGACCCTTTTTGTGTAAGCTGGCCAATGCACTCATCTCTGGACTCAATCTCAGTGTGCCATCAGCCTGGCAAGGTGCCCGGGAAGGAGTTAGGGGCTGGGAAGCGCTGAGAGTATTGGGAGGTGGGAAACATGTTGAGTTGTTGATGTTAAAGATTAGTTAACCTTAACCCTTTCCTTCCCCAGAGCCTATTTTC